TCCCGGTAGTTCAGAGGGACATGGGGATAGAGGAACTCGGGAAAGATCACGAGGCTTCCGGGCCTCACGCCTGTAGCACCGAGGCCAATCATACACCTCATCCTAGCAGCGAAGGAGAGAGAAACCAACCTGGAAAGGGTAAACCTCGAAGCCAAAAGGGCACAACGTGTCTTCAATCTTCTGTTTCAGCGCTGCGACTTGCGGCTCCATACTGCACGCTACGCGCTGAGCTTGGTGGGGAATGGAGTCTCAGGGGTAACTGGACCGTTAAGTTTCAAGGTAGCTTGGACTTCATTTCCCAAGAACTTCTGGGCTCAGCAGCGAAACGTCTTTGACTCTGCGCGATGCATCTTGGGATAGGTAGTTCATTTGATCCTTAGAAACAACCACTACAGAATTAGAAAGACTCGGTTTCCCGGCAAGTTCCACGGTGGGATTGTGCATGAATGTATCGCCTCCAGGGAAACGTAGTTCGGCAGCCTCCATCGCCGGTTGTCTCCGCGAGAAGCGGACTCAGTTTCCCAAGTGGCGCTGCGGCAGCCAGTCCAAAGTCGTATTTTCCTGGCCCACTGGCGGGTTTGAACCCGGTGGCGGCAGTATAGCTAGCACAGGTTCGGCGTGATGGTGCCGGTGTCTTGTATTTGGGGAGGTCTCGACCAAGATTCGGCACCTTCAACTCCTACCTGATATATGCTTATCAGGGTATCCCGCTTTTCCCTCAGTTCCCTAAGAACGCCTCTCCCCTGACTAGTCCCACAGGCGCAGTTTTGGTTTGATATTGCATCTCTACCCTTATTTTCCCCTCTTTCGATCTCACGTTGTAGCCTCTCCTGGGCTGTGCATCGGTTGTCTCGGCTGGAAGAGCAAGGACACAAGACGCCTGGGAGCCAGACCCCTGCCGCAAGTTATGAGGAGTAGCCTGAGCTGGTCTGAGCAGCTCGACGCACTTCTCAATGCTACGGATGGAAATATGGCCAGGATTAAGGTAAGGGGACGCATGAAGGCTCCCGTTTTGGGAATGTGGGATAAACGACTCAGAAAGATCTCATTGACATATACTTGTTTCTTCTGTAGCAGCGGTTGTTTCCCCTTGGCGTCTCTGCTGCAGGTAAGTGTTGTCGGTTTTCCTACCCGCGGCACCGCCCCCTCTCCCGCCCCATCCCCGTCTTTTCTCTTTCCAGGATCTTCCTTTTCCAGTGCCTATACCATCCACTGTTCCTTCCAAGTGTCCAACTAGTTCTTTTCCTGAAAAAACATCGGTTTTATCCCCACAGAGGTCTTGCACTTGTCCCTTCCTTATTCCCTCAGCAGGAGACCTGACTGGGACCTGGATTTCCCCTCATCACTTGCCTCCGCAGTCAGGAGTCCAAGCTCAACAGCCTTGGGCTCTAGAGACTCCCACTGTCCCAGAGAGGCTGAGCTGGGCTGAGGCCTATAGCACATCTTCTCTCTGGGATGAAGTTACTATTCTCAGATCCCAGCTTCGATCCCAGGCCCAGGTGAGGCTTGAGATCCTAGGCATGTATGTGTAGTGTTTGTGTGAGATGAGGGTACTGGAGGTTGAGGAAGTCCCTTTACACGGTAGCTCATGTGGTTTTCTGCCTGGGTAGGTGATTGGGGCACTAAAGCAGGCTGTGCAGGGCCTGCTGGAAGAGCGAGAGCAGCAGAAGTACCAGATCTATGCCCTGGAAGGTATCTGGCCAGTTATTTTCTTCATACACACAGCTTCATGTATGCACACAATTTTGTTGCACATTTATGTGTTGCACTTATGTCTTGATTCTCAAGTGGAGTCTCTAGGCTCATGTGTGAAGCCCTTAGAGAGGCTGACCCCCAACTTGTCCCATTATAGCATCACTAAGGTTGCTGCAGGGGGGCCCAGAGCAGAGGGCTCTTCTGGAGCAACGCTTGGAGGGGCTGAGAAGGGAACTGCAGGGCCTTCGAGGCCAGGTGCAGGAACAGGCCCAAGCCCAAATACAAACAGGACCACGAAAGTGCAGTGCTGCCAGTGGCCTTCACCTAGAGCTGCAGAATGAGTAAGTGATGGGCAAGACCTCTCCTTCTTCAGGCCTTTGAACTTCTGGTACTCTGGTAGCCTTCTGTGGGCTTGTTGATTGACTTTAGAATGACACTCCTGTCATCCCTGCAGGCGACAACTGCTTTGGGAGGAGTCAGAGATTCTGAGGGAGGAACTGAAGTTGCTGCGGGACCAGCTAAGTGAGTAAAAGGTTAGGGGGGAGGGTATGAGTTCACCTGTCTCTTTTTCTGGAAAGCCTTCTTGTTCTTCCAATAAGTGGCCATGGTTCTGACTGCTTGAGCTACTCAGAAGTCTGGCTAAGTATTTTGTCTTACCTCTAAAGGTGTGAGTCTACTTTCCCCAGCCAGCTTGGAATCTTCCTATCAGCTGGGCCAGAATGCCTCTCTCATTTTTCAGCACAATACTGGGCACAGGGCAGGGAGGGGGAAGGAAAGAAGCTGGAGAAGAGCATTTTTACATTTTCTTTCATTTGCAGGCCAGCACCAGGAGCTGCTGCTGAAACATATGGCAGAGGGGCGGCAAGCTCAGGCCCGCAGCTGGAAGGTAAGACCAGGATTTGAGCTATGTCGTCATATCCTATGGAGGCCCCTTCCTTTCTGTCTGCCCTGTTCTGCAGGCAGGCCAGGGTACTCTCTCCCATTCCTATCTATTTTCTCTTCCCTCTGATGATTCAACGTCCCTCCAAAGCTCTTCTTCCCAAGGCCTCTGCTCTAGGCCTTGAGAATCTGTCCTTGCCTACTTGAGGATTCCAAGTGGGCTGAAGAGGCCAATCATGGAGAGGGAGGATTCTCTTGGAGAGGGAGAGGTTTGGTTCTACCTGAGACCTTGGTATGGCAGATGTTGGACCAGCTGCAGAGTGGCCAGGAGAGCAAGGAGGCTACCAGAACAGAGGCCCAGGATGCCCAGCGGGAGCATGACCTTTTCAGGTTAGGGGGTATGGTTGCCTGTGGCAGTGGAAGGGATTTGTTTCACAGAGGCCAGGTATTGGGGACCAGAGTTCAGCTATCCTAGATATGATCTGGATCAGTAGGGGCAGTGTGAGTGTCTGGGTTACAGCCCGTAAGGGCAGTACTGGGCATTCTTTACTTGATACATTGTTACTGAGGTATCTTTATATGTCTGGAGAATAAAGGGAGGAGTCCTGGCCTCAGGAAGGAGGACGATTCTGAGCTCCATTTTTGCCCCTGATTCTGTTTTCCTTTGCAGGACCTCCATTCACGTCCTCCAATCTAAGCTGCCCCAGGGTGCCACCTTCGCCATGTCTCTTTCTTCATCTAGCTCTGAAGTCAGTCTTCTGGACAGTAACAGTAGCTGGGAACTTTTAAGGAAGCTAGATGGAGGTAAGGGCAGGGATCCCAGTTCTGGGCTAGGCTGAATCTCTGAATGGTCCTCAAATGCCAGGTGCCTGATTTTTTGGCACTGGGTAGGATGGAGTCTCTGCTTCTTTCTTTGCAAATCCATCGACCTCCGTTGCTACTTATTCCAAGTCAGGCCTGTATGTCCCTCCACATCAGAAAGGCCCAGGGCCTAGTTCTATGTGTATAACAGTGTTTGCTGATGGTTTTTTCTCCTCTTTCTCTCTTCTTAGGTCTCCAGAAGAGCACCCTTTCTAACATGGAATACAGCAGCTTTCAGCTCTAGGCCCAGAACCTTGAGCAGGAGGGCCTGTCCTTTGAGGGCCCCAAGATACTCCTGGGTGACCTGTAAGGACTTGTAACAGTAGTGGGATGAAGTCTTCTTTGCTCACCTTCCCATCCAAGGCCCAGGTTCTGGGCCCGTGCTGCTCCCTCTTGATCTAGCTGGTATATGCCCTCCCTACTGAGGCTTGTTACTACTTGCCCATCCCTGCCCACTAACTGCAGTAAAACGGTTTAACTCTCCTTAGTGTGTTTTCTGTGAATCAGCACCCACATGGGATAGACAGCTGTACCTTTTCTTTCTCCTGTAACATGACTGCTTCCTGCCACTTCTCTCTCTGAAACCCATGTTCATAGACATTTTTGGTTGTACCTTCTAAGTTCAAGCCCTATGTTCAGTGGAACTTGCAAAGAGGTGGGAGTTCCCATTCTGGTGAGTAGAATGAGGTAGGACAATGCTCTGGGATAGTACTGCTGTGCGGATGCAGGGAGTATGAGACATTGTGGTGGGTTCTGGACTTGGGCAATAGGAGGCTTCCTCTCCTCATCTTATAGTTTCTGCTCTTGAGGCTCACTCCAGCCCTTCCACACCTCATCCTCAACAGTCCTGAAACAAATTTATGATTCAATACTTATTCCTACTAGGAATGATGCACTCTGATATTTCCTGTTATATTTTAAAAATGTCTGTGGCTATTGGTTTTGATCTTTCCACCATTTGGTTGCTCTCTGGAAAATATATTTTCCTAAGTAGACTAAGGCAAGCTTTTCCGTCTTCGTACCTGGGCTTTGTATTCTAGATAGTGCAGTCTAGGATTTCCTTGGTAGCAACATCATCTCAGGTCTAATGAGGTTTCTTCCACTTCTAAATATAGCCAAAAGATAATGCCGTTCATCCACCAAGTGGATGTTTATTGAGCATAATACATACCAGTCCTGGTATCTTGAATGGGGTACATTCAAGGCCTTAACCTAACTAGCACACAAGTCAGAAGAGTGGGCCTTTGACACCTGAACAGCTATAAGGCAATCCTTGGTTCTTTCCTCTTAGCATTAGGGAGATTGCTGAAAGTGGAATGGTAGAGATTAGACTTGGATCAAACAGAACCCGAAAAACAAAAACGAAAACTTTCCATAGGCTCATCT